GGGGGGGGGGGGGAGCGAAAGATCCTTCGCCCCCCCCCTTCCGGATCCGTCTATGTCTAGAGGTACTCTCCTGCCGGAGGAGAAACGTTTTTCGACCCATCAGAGTCACTCCCTCCAGGATTCGTTCATTCGCTGCTAGCGTATTTACAGCGATGTCAAAACCGCCATCAGCTTGCTTCTGGGCAAATTACACGGGAAAGGGTTGCGTAAATCCGGAGAACAGTTTACCGATTTGATGTGGAAGTGTAATTTTACTTCAGTTTTGTGAGCTATCAGTGGTAATGTTAGGAGTGTTTGTAACAAATAGCAACGCGCACCAGACTTCTCACGAGGCCGTAGATAATACTTAACAGCGAGGGAACGCTGAATTTGAATAGGCAAAGTTGAGCGTGGGCAGGGAGTTATCACCCTAAAATTTCAGCTTCCTAGACCCGTGGTTCCCGAGATAATAATTTACCCGTAAAAACTTTCACTAGCCCGTAGATAATACCCGAGAGCGGGGGAACGCTGAATTTGAATGGGCAAGGTTGAGCGCGGGCAGGGAGTCAATAATGTAAAATTTCAGCCTCCTGGATTCCGTGGTTCCTGAGATATTGATTTACCCGTAAAAAACTTTCACGGGGCCGCACGAGTTACTCGCGAGTACGGGAAGGCTGAATTTAAATTTGCCGCGTCACCCGTTGGCGGGGAACACTATACCAAAATTTCAGCCGCCTAGCTTTTCTGGTTCCCGAGTTGAAAGTGCGGGACAAAATGTGGGACACACACACAAACACACATACACACAAATACACACGTAGACAACCCCGTGACAATATGCGTTTTGCAACGCTGCTACACAGCACAAAATGCATAACAATCGCTATCCATAATCATCGATTGGAAGAGGAGCGATGTGGGATCACTGGCTGATCGAGTGCCACAGCAGTCAAGCGATGTATACGGATCGAGGAGGGAAAAGCAATGCATCGACAGCCTTGCCAGCGAGTGGTTGCTTCTAATTTATGCTTTTATTTGGGCTACTTTCGCGTGTGCCTCTGCCTTCCACAGAGAGTGAAAATGACGCAGATTCAGGTTGTTCTGACTTGTTCGAAGTAGCAGAACAGAGGATTGGACTTTAAGTGTGTAAGAAAGACATTTCACGATGCAGTAGAGGCAGTCTCTGTGTTTTATCCCTTAGCTGTAAACACTGGCAAAAGCCACGAAAGGTTCAATAAATAGAAACGCGCACCAGACTAGCCGGTGCGATCATGCGTGTTGTGCAATTCAGCCCATCGAAAGATTGCCTACTAATGATTTTCACTGATTTGTACTTTAGTCTATGCAAAAATAGTTAAAACC